CTGCCTCAGGGTAAGGCCGGCCAGCCGGGTGCCCTCCCCCGGGGCTGGGGCCTTCTCTGGTGCCCTCCAGTTTTACTCCACAAGCAAAAACTGCCCTGACTCCCCCTGTGCCCCGCAGCACCGTTGCTGGGTTCCTACACCTCCCAAATCTGCCACCCAGAGCAGCCCATGCTGGCCCCCTACATTGCTCCACGTGCTGTTACCGCCTCTGCGTCCCCTGTCCCACAAAGCACCTCACAGCACCCTGCGCTGACAGGGTCAGCGATGAGACTCTGGGCGTGCTCTGCCCAGTCCCCACCGGTTACCCAGTCCCTGGGGCTTTGCGGTGCCAGCAGTGCTACCTCTGCTTTCGCCCAGGTGAAGCGGCGCTCTAAGCGGGGTGGGCAGGTGGGCATGGTGCAGGTCGGCGTGGAGACCTATGGAGGGGGCATCTGGAACACCTGGTTCGACCGTGACCTTACCGTGGCTGGGAGGGTGATCATAAAGGTGAGCCTGTTTTGGGACGGTGGGCTAGCTGTGTGCCCCTGGCTCTGGGTCCGTGACTCCCACCTAGAGTGAGACCTACTGCAGCCTCTCAGCCCTGAAGGCCTGGCCCCAGCAGTCCTCCTTGTGTTTCAGGACCCGGCCACAGGGCGCCTGGAGCAGCGCCTGGTACGTGTGGAGCGGCCTGTCCTCCGCATTCCCCACCTGGCCATCCATCTGCAGCGCAGCATCAATGAGAACTTTGGGCCCAACACCGAGCACCACCTGTAAGGCCTGGCTTGGCCCCGACCCCTGGCCAGCCCTCGGGAGGGCTGGAACCCAGCTGGAGCAGTGCCCAGCCTCAGCTCTCTCCCTTTGGCAGCTGCTCATCGCAGTGGGGAGGTCTGCAATGGCTTTTCTTAGCCCCATAGAGTCCTCCCAGGAGATGCTTCCAAGCTTGGGACTTGGGAAAGGATACTGGGATGTCCTGAGGTGGCATAATAGATCTGTGCTTGAAATGTTGTGTGTCCTTGCTCTGTTCGGCATGGCAGTCGCTCCCTGGAGGAGCCAAGCAGGCACCCCAGGAAGGGTTGGTTGTGTGTAACCCAAGCAGGAGAGGTGAGCAAAGCCCTGGGAGCTAACGGCACCGTTTCCCCACAGGGTTCCCATTCTGGCCACTGCTGTGCAGGAGGAGCTGGAAAAGGAGGTGCTCATGGAAGCCACACCTTGCGATGCTGCGGCCCAGGTGAGCCGGGTGCCAAGGACTAGGAGGGGCGCTTGCTAGGACCTCACACTTGTCACCTTTGATTTCCCCCTCAGGGACCTGCCAGCAGGTTCCCCTTCCCCTTCTCCCCATGGACTGCTGGTAACTTTCCACTCTGCCCCAGAGCTGTGTACACGACACATCTGCTCAGCCATGTCACTGTTCCCACCCTGCTCTGCAGCCATCGTATAGAAGGGGTGCAGCCCCTGTAAAACTGTCAGTCTGCCTGGGCAGGCAGGACAGGGAGGGGGGATTGCACAGGGGGCAGAGAGCCCCTCGCTGTGCCCTGCAAATAGCCCTGCTGCCCTGTGTGAGGTGGGGGCTTGAACACAGGACATGTTAGTAGGAGGGAGGACTGTGCCAACATGAGTCGGGTATGAGACAGCTCTACCAGGAGGAAGGGGGAGTTTCCCCTGCCATCCACTGCCTGTCCTGCCTGCAGCTCTGCTTTCTTCCCAGGCAGAGCGGCACAGCCCTGTCCTGCTTTCCCTGCTGTGCCCCCAGCTGGGGGTGAAACCGGAGCAGATTGTGGAGCTGGAACTATGTCTGGCAGATACGCAGCCAGCAGTGAGTAAGGGCAGGAGCCTCCCTCTGCCTGCACACAGCCTGCAGGCTGGCACTGCACGTTTCCTCTGCCTGGGGCGTGCCAGGGCTGGGAGCTGAGCAGAATGAGAGGAGGCAGCTCCTGAGGGGCAGAGATGGGGGGACTGGAATGGGGACCCAGCGGCAGGTACTTTTTGGTGACCCAGAGCCTGTGCCTTGCTCCTCCTGGCTCTCTGCCTGCAGACGCTGGGTGGTGCCTTCGACGAGTTCATCTTCTCCCCACGTCTGGACAACCTGCACAGCTGCTACTGCGCCCTGCAGGTGAGGAGGAGTGGGAAAGGAGCCTGGAGGCCGCAGCGTGGCCCCCGCGCACCCCGGCTTGGCTTAGCGGGGCTGTGGGCTGGCCCGAGGCTCTGCAGGGAGGCGTGTACCTTGGGGTGGGTCTGGTTTGTTGGAAGATCTGGGGTTGGATGGGGGCTGCCCCCTTTGCAGCTCCCAGGGGCGACTCCTGTTCTCGCTGGGCAATGTGTATGCCCACAGCTGCCTTCCTCGGTGCTTTGGGCTCTCCTGGGAAAGTTCCTGCTGGCTCAGTGCTGAGCTTCCCGGGATGGGGTGGCGCTCAAGTTGGTGGCCGTTCTCCTTTAACCCTGCAGGCCTTGATTGACTCGTGTGCAGCGCCTTCCTCCCTCTCGCAGGAGCCCAACGTGCGTCTCATCGCACTCTACGACAACGAGGAGGTGAGCAAGGGACACAGCCGTGGGATGGCTGGCACAGGGAGGGGGTCCATGTTCTTTGCTCTCCCCCAGCCATGCCTAGCAGGAGATAGATCCCAGGCCCCAGCAGGGCAAGCAGGGGGTTTGCTTACCCCCCCGTGGAGGGGTTGGGAAGCACTGGTGTGGTTGGAAGCTGCTCTGCTGGCTTTGGGGAGCAGCCTGTCAGCCGGCTCCTGGGGTGCCGGGGGGTTGTACCGCGTGGGTCGTGCTGATGGGGGTGCTTGGCAGGTAGGGGCAGAGAGGGCACAGGGCGGG